TCTCTGCCGTCAATTAGGGCCCCAAAAAGCATGAATCCAGAGGATTTCTGGAGTTTTACTTCGATTTCTTTATAATTATTGTACGAAAACGACAGATGGAGTATGTCATTTAGTGCAATGCCCAATATGATTCAACACAGCAGACAATATAAAAGCGAACGTCGGCAACGTAGGTGTTTAGAAAAATCTGCTTTACCGGCGTTGATAAAGTTCCTCGACGTGTTTCAATTCACCTTAATTGTTCAAATGAACTTCATGTTTGAAAGATTTACTATGTATCCACGATGAAAGAGAATGCTAACACTGGTGTGTTCAATAGCTATGTGTCGAAACAGTACGTAGCAAGTCGGGTCCCTCTCGTCTCTGGACTCACCACTGGCATCAGCTTCTCCACTAAACTGTCGAGACATAGTCCTTTCTCTCCATAGAGGACCAGGGCAGCCAACTGTCCTTTCCACACAAGGACGCACCTTCGGGTCTCCCGGACATCAGCCCGAGTCAACGGGAGTTCCAGTGCTGGGAGTAGGCTGAACATGACAGAGCACTGTAAGAGAGAAAGAAGTACCTGTATCTTAGCAAGTGTTTTTAACCCTTTCGTTAAGGTGATGTGAAACGCCCTTCAAATCAGTGGATTCGAATACAACACTATTTTTTAAGGGTATTAGACCAAACTGTCCGAAACTTTGACGCATCAATCCTGATCATCTAAGAATTATCCTGACACATACAAAATTTGGATTTTGTAAACAAATTTTTTAACTCAGCCCAGACCAGAACCAAAATGGCGTCGAGCTCTCATATTTCGATCGGTATACAATTATCGAAGGCTCTGATATGAGAAACGAAAGGGTCAGGACCATTTTACGACAATTTAAAACACTCTGGTAATCGATAAACTCGCATTTGAACGGGATAAAGGCAAAAGAAGTGTTGTATGCGCTTCTATGCTAAAACGATGGTAATACGATGCTAATACGTCACAGACCCTGGGGAGGCGCTGGCCGGGTCGGGGCCTCCTTGACGCGCTCCCCGAAGGGAGATCGCTTGACCCCGCCCGTTGTCCGCGGGGAACCCTGTGGAGGTCCCTCCTCTGCACCTGCGTGGTGCGAGCATTCGTGCAAGGCCCCAGCTGAGACGCAATGCTCCAGCGTGGGTTCGGCGAGCTTTCCCGGCTAGGTCGGGTGGGAACCCGATCCATCGGCCGAGTTGACCGGCAAATATAGGATCGGTTATCCCACCTATCGGCCCGTACTAGCTCGCCGGCCTTCTTATTACGGCCGGTGGGGCCGGCCCCCAACCCGCACCCGGAAAACCGGGACACGGGACGGGTTACCCGACGCACCCAAGCCGTCCGGTCGAGAAGTATTCCCATGATGAGGGCCACCTTTCGCCGGTAACTCTAGGGGGAACAAGAGTGCGATCAAACTCCGCAGAGCGAGCATCTCTCATGGTTCCCCAGTAGCCATTTGCCGTTTCGTTACGGATCCATGAGGATCCGCATCCAGCCCCACCACGAGGAGGTTTACGGATGGCTCTTGGGCGCGTGGGGGCTGCCCCTCCCCCACGTCGTTGCCTTTTGGAGGCCATATTGTCCGAGCATGATATCGTATCAGCCTTGCGGCCGACCGCACCTGGAGGGTGTGCCTCCCTATCGGTCCCCCCATTGCTGGGGGGTTACACTCCCTACCCCACCCGGCAACCCCAACGTCAAAGGGGCCCGAAGGCCCATGACGGGCCGGGAAAAACCCGAATGCTCCGGACCGATCGACAAACCCTGGGGAGGCGCTTGCCGGGACAGGGCCTCCGCGACGCACTCCCCGAAGGGAGGCCGCTTGACCCCACCCGTTGCCCGCGGGGAACCTCGAGGAGGTCCCTCCCCTGCACCCGCGTGGTGCGAGCCATATTGTCCGAGCAGTATAACGCAGTAAAAACTGTAATTTTAGCCGCAGAAGACGAGCTCAACAGTGTCCTTACCACGTTCACAGTATCCACGGCGACCGCCAGAGTCAGGAAGAGCGAGATGAAGTTGAAGAGCCCGGTCTCGGAGAGACCTTGCACCCTCTCCTTCGTGAACTTGGAGTATATTCTGCCTTTGAGTTGGTTCCAGACTTTGCGCCCGGCTTCGTCGGGTCTCCCTTCGAGGACGGTACCTGTGGGAAGGTGAAATTTCAGGCTTTCCGATCATTTGCACCTACACTGAGAGGAAAAGAGTGCAAGCGTGGTGCAATAGTGCAAGAGTGGGTGCAAGCAATCTTACCGAGGAATCGCAGAAACATGCCATAGCTCGATCGGCTCGACCGGTCCCGCTCCGCATTCGTGCCGATTCGTTGCTCGACTTGCCGTAAGATGTCCATAGGTCGCTTTCTGTGTCCAGAAAAACCAATTAATTTAAAAGAGAATAGGTACAATGTGGTTTTCCTCGACACAGTTGCCTTCCGGAAGGGTCCAAGTGGGACAGTGTGGCCATCAGCTCTATTGAACACAGCGCAAAGATAGCAACTGTGCAGTCAGCTTATAGTCTTGAATGCCGGTTTCTAGTCTGCATAATCTGAACACATGATTGCCTACAAGTTTTGCTAAGGCCTTCCGGAAGGGTCCCAATGGCACAGTGTGGCCATCAGCTCTATTGGACACAGCGCAAAGATAGCAACTGTGCAGTCAGNAAACTACTTAATTTACGTAATATACGTCAAAAACCTCGAAAATCGTGAAATTACCCAACCCTGACGTATATTACAACGTATAATACGTCCCTAATATTCTACGCAGGCACAAAGTATATTATCCCAAACTAAACGTGCAAAGCGCATGCGCGATATCGTCAATAGCCAATGAGAGTCCACCTAATTACCCTTAAGAGAGATTCTCATTGGCTATTAAAGGGATTGCGCTTTACGCATCCACAAATCCGCGCACATTCGAAATCAGCCTTGGAAATTTAAAATGTATGCATATATCTGCACTTAACGTTTGTTTATAACGACTGATAACGGCTACTTCAAGTCGTAAGATCCGTAACCAATATTTGTATCAAAATGTATAAAAGTGGAAGACCAAAAAGTAAATTATTGGATGAAACAAATGCACAAGATGGACATTTATAAACTAACGGATACCGTTTGCCCTACCTCTGTCTTGTCCGCCATATTTGATACGTTTTCTTTTGGTTTTCTGCGGTTTCTACGGTAAACTACTTAATTTACGTAATATACGTCAAAAACCTCGAAAATCGTGAAATTACCCAACCCTGACGTATATTACAACGTATAATACGTCCCTAATTTTCTACGCAGGCTCGAAGTATATTATCCCAAACTAAATGTACAAAGCGCATGCGCGGTATGGTCAATGGCCAATGAGAGTCCACCTATTTACCCTTAAGAGAGATTCTCGTTGGTTATTAAAGGGATTGCGCTTTACGTGTCCACAAATCCGCACAGATTCGAAATCAGTCTTGGAAATTTGAAATGTATGCATATATGTGCATTTGACGTTTGTTTATAACGGCTACTTGAAGTCGTAAAATTCGTAACCAATATTTGTATCAAAATGTATAAAAGTGGAAGACCAAAAAGTAAATAATGGGATGAAACAAATGGACAAGATGGACGTTTATAACCCAGCGGATACCGCTTGCCGTTCGTCTGTCTTGTCCGCCATATTTGATACGTTTTCTACGTTTTTTACGGTTAACTACTTGATTTACGTAATATACGTCAAGAACCTGGAAAATCGTGAAATTACCCAACCCTGCCTAGGCATATGATGGTTTATGACATCGACCTGGACAACGATTACAGGAACATCCTTCACCTCCTGCTCCAGACCTTGCATGGCGCCATCTGCCTGCAGAATCTGGTTCAAGTAGGCGCGCGTCATTCTGCAAATGAGCCATTCCCTTTAGCAACGAGTACTGCTAACCCACTGAACACTGTTATATAACTGTTAGGTAAATGTTACGTTTTCGAAGTTAACGTGTTACATAACATAAAATTAACATTGAAGTTAGATATTTGTTATTATTTCCCACTCAATAAGGTAACATGTTATGTAACAGGTTATATTAATGTTAGAAGTCCAGTTTACCTTAAAGTAATATTAATTTTTCAAACATTTAATTTAAAAAAATGCAGTTTTATACAAAATTATGTAGTTTTTATATTGTATTATTCTGTGGCACTTGAAAATAGTTAGATATTCAATGACAAATTAGATTTTAAATGAAATTATGTAAACCATAAACTATCTGATTTCATTTAAAGACTAGGATTTCATTCAACTTGTAAACAATTACTGATAATGTGTATGCGAGTACGAATTAAAACCCATTTTTTTATACGGGTAGTAAACAAAATATGACGTATATTAATCTTATGACATTTGACGATGAATTATGACAACGGCGATGACTATGATGTAATAAAGTAGATCACAGTTAGCACCGATGTAGTTCTGTTTTGTTACAAATATGTGCTGCATATACACACTAATATCAGGACAGTAATATAATGTAAGATAAGAGTAACAAAGCTATAACAGTTATATTAGAGTGTTCCGTGGGAAGATCTTACGCCAGAACTATGCTCATCAGGTATATACAAAATGCCTTGTTGTTGTGGGAAGATCTACATCGGTGGAACCGGGAGAAGAGGGTCCACACGGATCAAAGAGCATGAAAGAACCATTCGATTAAAACACCTTGAACACTGAGCAATAGCAGAACACCGTATGGAAACTATTGGATTGTTTAATAGAATTTGTTACTTCCTATTCCCGATAGTATACACTAGCATGTAAGTGAAACCACACACTGGGTTCAAAAACAAATCGACGCAGATAATATCGGTGTCACATAAACATAACCGTAGGATTTAGATAGCGAAAGAACCAAGGGTTCTTTTGTATAGAGCCGACAACGACTTGTGGAGTCTGTGACCCTAACTTGCGTTGCTAGTCTCCTGGAGAAGTTCATACCGTACAGATGGTCCTTCAAAAGGTGAAATTAAATTAAAGAAATCAAATCAACTTTAATATTGAGTAATTCATTCTCCCATTTCCATCAGAAACTGGCCACACACTTCTATTCGAAAACACATCAGTCATAGCCAAAGCGTCCAATTTCTTCTCGAGAAAATAGCGAGAGGCAATAGAAATAAAAAAAAAAAAAACCCAATAACATAAATCGCGACAGAGAATATCAAGTGAATACCAATTGGAACACCTTTCCCCCGGCTTTTTTTTTAAATTTGATTGGCCAATCAAATTTCTCAAAACCGGATTGGGCAGCCTCTCTACCAGGGAGTCCGAATCGGCCAATCAGGATGTACCTCAACCCTATGAAGAGGACTCCCCGAGAAGGAGAACACATTTCATCAGTGTTTGACCTGATGAAGCAAACTGCAACGTTTGCGACACGTCCGCCCTCTGGCGACAATGGACGCGCTTCCGATCACTCCCGAAAGCCCCAACAAATTTAAGGTGAAGTGAAACACGTCGAGGAACTTGATCAACGTCGATAAAGCAAATTATTCTAAATGCCTACGTTGCCGACGTTCGTTTTTATATTGACAGCTGGGTCGAATTATATTGGGTATTGTACCAAATGGCATATTCCACCTGTCGTTTTCGGACAATAATTATAAAGAAATCGAAGTAAAATTCCAGAAATCCTCTGGATTCATGCCTTCTGGGGCCCTAATTGACTGCAGAGGGACCCCCTGCGCCATCTGTGATTTCCAGGTCAATTAAATTTTCACTCCGAGACCTCGTATTCCCATCGTTTTAGCATAGAAGCGCATACAACACTTTTTTTGCCTTTATCCCGTTCAAATGCGAGTTTATCGACTACCAGTGTTCCACATTGTCGTAAAATTGTCCTGACCCTTTCGATTCTCATATCAGAGCCTTCGATAATTGTATATTGATCGAAATGAGAGTTCGACGCCATTTTGGTTCTGGTCTGGACTGAGTTAAAAAATTTGTTTGAAAAATCCAAATTTTGAATGTGTTAGGACAATTCTTAGATGATCAGGAGTGATGTGTCAACGTTTCGGACAGTTTGGTCTAATGCCCTTAAAAAAAAAGTGTTGTATTCGAATCGACTGATTTGAAGGATGTTTCACTTCACCTTAAGGACATTTGTTTAATTTGTTATGCATTCGTGCTGGGATGTGTACCCGACTTTTCGACCACCTGCGGCCATACCTCGCATCCTCGATGACGACCAGGCCGGAAAAGTGCTGGAAGAGCGACCCCGCCGAGTGGCGATGCTTCTTGGCATTCGCCGGGTCCCTGAGGGCCTCCAGGGTGAAGAGAACCGCCAGTTCGGCGACCTCACCGTAGTAACGGGCGAGGACGTGCGAGTCCAACGCCATCTGGCGTGCCCTGCTGGCCCCGTGCGTCCAGAGGGCGTTCAGCATCCGCCTCGCATTATCCGGAACATTCGCGAAGGAAACGCCGGAGACGTTCTGCTCGGGCTCGAGGAAGATGGGGGCGAGCGCCTGCTCGGCAGGGTCAGAGTCACCGTCCAGGAGGCGGCGGCATTTCTTCAAGATTCCCGAAAGAGCGCTGACGAGTCTTCCGACGTTATTGCCGGAGCACTCCATGAGGTAGCGGTCGATCCATCCTCCCAACAAGACGTGTCCCTGAAGAGCGAATGCCTCGCTGGAGGACAGGATCGCCTCGAAGGTGTCCACGAAGATCGCCATGATAGATCGCGAGGCGTCGTCTTTGCAGCAGCTCGCCGTATTGATCTGAAGACAGGATTGATTAAAATCAAGATTTAGACGAAGAAAATAAAGAGTCGATTTTTAAAGAGAAATCGCAATTTCTTTTCAAATATTTTAAGGTGAAGTGAACCCCCCTTCAAATCAGTCGATCCGAATAAGACACTTATTGTTAAGAGTATTGAACGGAACCGTCTGAAACTGACACGTGACTCGTGGGCACCTAGGAATTATCTCGATTCTTTCAAGATTTGGATGTTCGAAGACAATTTTTTAACTAAGTCCAGACCAGAACCAAAATGGCGTCGAGCTCTCATATATCCAATTATTGAAGGCTCTAATATGAGAATCGAAAGTGTCAGGACAATTGTACGACAATTTAGAACACTCTGGTAATCGATAAATTCACATTTGAACGAGATAAAGGCAAAAAAAGTGTCTTATGCGCTACTATGCTAAAAAGATGGTAATATGAGGCCTCGGAGTGAAAATTTAGTTGACACGGAAATCACAGATGGCGTAGGGGTCACTCTGCAGTCAATTAGTGCCTCGGAAACAATGAATCCGGAGGATTTCTGGAGTTCGACTTCGATTTCTTTATAATTATTGCACGGAAACGACAGGTGGCGTATGCCATGTAGTACAATACCCAATATAATTCGACACAGCTGTCAGTATAAAAACGAACGTCGGCAACGTAGGTATTTAGAAAAATCTTCTTTACCGGCGTCGATTAAGTTCCTCAACGTGGTTCACTTCACCTTAAGGTGAAGTGAAATTCCCCTCAAAACAGTCAATAGGAATACAACACTTTTTTTTTTTTAACGGTATTAGACCAAAATGTCCGAAACTTTGACACATGACTCGTGATATCATCTAAAAATTGTCCTGACCCATTCAAAATTTGGATTCTTCCAAAAAAATTGTTTCACCTAGCCCAGACCAGAACCAATATGCCGTCGAGCTCTCATATTTCGATCGATATACAATTATTTAAGGCTCTGGTATGAGCAACGAAAGAGTCAGGAGAATTTTACGATAATTTAGAACACTCTGGTAATCGATAAACTCGTATTTGAACGGGATAAGGGCAAAGAAAGTGTTGTATGCGCTTCTATGCTAAAACGATGGGAATACGAAATCTCGGAGTGAAAATTTAATTGACTTGGAAATCACAGATGGCGTAAGGAGTCTCTCTGCCGTCAATTAGGGCCCCAAAAAGCATGAATCCAGAGGATTTCTGGAGTTTTACTTCGATTTCTTTATAATTATTGTACGAAAACGACAGATGGAGTATGTCATTTAGTGCAATGCCCAATATGATTCAACACAGCAGACAATATAAAAGCGAACGTCGGCAACGTAGGTGTTTAGAAAAATCTGCTTTACCGGCGTTGATAAAGTTCCTCGACGTGTTTCAATTCACCTTAATTGTTCAAATGAACTTCATGTTTGAAAGATTTACTATGTATCCACGATGAAAGAGAATGCTAACACTGGTGTGTTCAATAGCTATGTGTCGAAACAGTACGTAGCAAGTCGGGTCCCTCTCGTCTCTGGACTCACCACTGGCATCAGCTTCTCCACTAAACTGTCGAGACATAGTCCTTTCTCTCCATAGAGGACCAGGGCAGCCAACTGTCCTTTCCACACAAGGACGCACCTTCGGGTCTCCCGGACATCAGCCCGAGTCAACGGGAGTTCCAGTGCTGGGAGTAGGCTGAACATGACAGAGCACTGTAAGAGAGAAAGAAGTACCTGTATCTTAGCAAGTGTTTTTAACCCTTTCGTTAAGGTGATGTGAAACGCCCTTCAAATCAGTGGATTCGAATACAACACTATTTTTTAAGGGTATTAGACCAAACTGTCCGAAACTTTGACGCATCAATCCTGATCATCTAAGAATTATCCTGACACATACAAAATTTGGATTTTGTAAACAAATTTTTTAACTCAGCCCAGACCAGAACCAAAATGGCGTCGAGCTCTCATATTTCGATCGGTATACAATTATCGAAGGCTCTGATATGAGAAACGAAAGGGTCAGGACCATTTTACGACAATTTAAAACACTCTGGTAATCGATAAACTCGCATTTGAACGGGATAAAGGCAAAAGAAGTGTTGTATGCGCTTCTATGCTAAAACGATGGTAATACGATGCTAATACGTCACAGACCCTGGGGAGGCGCTGGCCGGGTCGGGGCCTCCTTGACGCGCTCCCCGAAGGGAGATCGCTTGACCCCGCCCGTTGTCCGCGGGGAACCCTGTGGAGGTCCCTCCTCTGCACCTGCGTGGTGCGAGCATTCGTGCAAGGCCCCAGCTGAGACGCAATGCTCCAGCGTGGGTTCGGCGAGCTTTCCCGGCTAGGTCGGGTGGGAACCCGATCCATCGGCCGAGTTGACCGGCAAATATAGGATCGGTTATCCCACCTATCGGCCCGTACTAGCTCGCCGGCCTTCTTATTACGGCCGGTGGGGCCGGCCCCCAACCCGCACCCGGAAAACCGGGACACGGGACGGGTTACCCGACGCACCCAAGCCGTCCGGTCGAGAAGTATTCCCATGATGAGGGCCACCTTTCGCCGGTAACTCTAGGGGGAACAAGAGTGCGATCAAACTCCGCAGAGCGAGCATCTCTCATGGTT